AATACAATAACAATACCTATGCACAATCTCACCACTGTTTCCACCCAAAATCAGCACTGCCAACAACTACCGCCAACAACACCACCATTGTACACAGCCACTGTCAGGGGCACCACCACCACCAGAGCCACTGCACACGAACTGGCAGAACACAAATCGAAAAAAATTCAACCATTCACTGCCTAACCATACCATCAGCAACGCCACCGCACAAGCGCACACATCACCACCCCGTCAAATACACCAACGATCAAAACCATGGAAAAAATCAAGCAGAGCCACAAGCAGCGGCATTCACAGCAAATTGTCGGAGAATTGTTCACAGTACATCTGTTGCACCTCACTCAATTACAGTCAAAGTCAATAAATTATATAGTCAAAGTTAAAGCCAAATAAGAATTTAAGTTGGAGGAATGATTTTCATGGGATTTAAATTTGAAATTGCTAGTACTTAAGAGGGCCTGAAATGATATAAAAATAAATTTTGGGATTTTGCTTCTAGTATGATAAATAAGATGACTAAATGTTAAATTATATAAAGGTTGGGGACTTGTATTGTAATTATAGTTATGGGGTGAAATATGAAATGCCTTAATTTAACACTTTAAAAAAAAAAAAGAAAAAGGAAACTGTAGGCGGTTAGCTCAAAACAAATCCATTTCTATTATATTTATATATATAGGTAATCCAAATCCATTACACAAAAAGACACACACAAAACACGTAAGAGAGAAAACGAACCAGAGAGAAAAGGAAGAGAAAAGTGAAAGGAAAAAGAAGAAAAAAAGGAGGAGGAAAAAAAGAAGAAGGAAAGTTCGCATTTGTTATTAGAAAATAAGTGGTCTGCATTATTATGCTTGAATTCCTCAATTTTGAAATGTAAATAACAAGTTACTTATTGTCAAGTTATGTTTGATTTTATAATTGTTAGATTGTTAGATTAAATTCAATTTTATTGAAGGAGTTAAGTATAATAAACTATGAAATTGAGTAAGATGAAAGAAAAACTAGTTTTAGTTATTAAAGAGAATGTAGAAATCGCTCAAACGTGAAATGATTAATTTTGGGTATTGTCTATTTAATTATTGAAATTATTTAAAATAATTAATTATTTATTTAAAAATTATATCGTATTTCAGGCGACGATACTGACATTAGAACAGTTTACCAATCGAGTTGATTTTACGAACATTGTACCGTGAGTGGAAAAATATAAATATTTTTAAAGTATTTATAATTTAAGTATATTGTTAAAGTATGTGCAATTATATACAATTATGTATTCGAATCACATGGTTATTATGTAAATATCTTTTTTTATGATACATGTGGAATTTCAAGAATTATTTATTGTACGTTTGTGACTTGGTATATGAGACATGTGATATTGAGATTTGTTTGGTATATGGGACGTGATACTGAGATCGACCAAAAAAGTGCCCGTGATAATGTACTTCTTCTAGTTCATAGAGGGGTCTTGATCGTGTTTTATCCTACACGGAGGGTTTTGACTTGACATTGGTTTTGATTGTGTACATATATTTCACAGAGGGGCCTTGACCGTGTTCTAAAATTGATTATGAGAAGTCTTTGAGACCGACTTTCGTTCACGAACCCGTGACGAAAGTTCTTAGCTCGATGAGCGGATTATATATTTCAGTCAGAGAGAACATTTTTGGTGAATTTTTCAGTACGTTTCATGTGATGAGATTATAACATGATTATCAGCTGATATCTATATCATGATTTTAAGATGATATTTTATGACTTTATGTGAATATTTCACTTTTTTGCTATAATTACATGATGGTAGCTTGTGAATTATCAAATGATATGAATTTGATATTCGATAAAAATGTATAAATGAAAAAGTATAATTATTTTCGAATTTCTCCACTCATTGAGCTATCAACTCATATATTTTCTCGTAATTTTCCTACAAGTGGAAAATTGATTTTTTTTAGTTGGAAGAGCCTAATGATTTCGGAATGAGAGTCACACGACATGTTGAGTGTTATAATTCATATTGATAAAGCACGAAATAAATATTTGGGCCCATCGCATTATATTTTACATAAGCATTTGATTTTGTTGCATTTTTTGAAATAACTCATAGTTACCCTTGGTAATAGATTTGACATCTAGTTAGTATCTATCATCGATGCACGTCACGTTTCGAGTCCACTAGGGTGATTCGAGACGGGTCGTGTCAACATCTACCTCATAAACCATCGGCCACAGCAAATCGTCGGAGAAACACCGCTAATCGGAGGAATTTCAGATCAAAGCCTTCGTCGCAGGCTCCGATCTCTTCATTCCAGTAGCAACGTGCTGGCGACGACGAAGTGAAATGAGGTTGATCTTCGACGAGGGATGCTCCAACGGCGACGACGGCATCATTAGACAGAGGATGAAGATGAAAAGGAAGAGTGAGAGTGCGAGTGTAAGAATGAAATAAAAGTGGGTGGAAATAAAATTAGGGTTCATATTATATGTCAAAACCTGATTTATGCACAATGAAACTTGATCCCTGACTTTTGGTTAGTATCTATCATCGATGCACGTCACGTTTCGAGTCCACTAGGGTGATTCGAGACGGGTCGTGTCAACATCTACCTCATAAACCATCGGCCACAGCAAATCGTCGGAGAAACACCGCTAATCGGAGGAATTTCAGATCAAAGCCTTCGTCGCAGGCTCCGATCTCTTCATTCCAGTAGCAACGTGCTGGCGACGACGAAGTGAAATGAGGTTGATCTTCGACGAGGGATGCTCCAACGGCGACGACGGCATCATTAGACAGAGGATGAAGATGAAAAGGAAGAGTGAGAGTGCGAGTGTAAGAATGAAATAAAAGTGGGTGGAAATAAAATTAGGATTCATATTATATGTCAAAACCTGATTTATGCACAATGAAACTTGATCCCTGACTTTTGAATTGTGGTCTTTAAATACCCAGTACCATGTAATTTTCCCAAATAGCTATGTGTAGCAGGTAATTAACTGTAGCTACCCGTGTTACTGCCTGCGATATAATACAAGCAACAGTGTTGAACGTTTGGATCGATCCTAGATTATTTCGCCGAACAAAAGTTTTGCTCGGCTCAGGCCAAAAAAGGCTCGAGCCATTTTTATTCGAGTCTAGCCCAAGCCCATGTCCAAGCCCAAGCCTCAAGTTTCATTTCAAGAGCCGACTCAACTTGACTTGTTGACTTTCCTACCTTCATCTCAAATTAAAGTGAGCAAGAAAAGCAACATCTTCTCGACTAAGGAAAGCACCTATCCAATCCCACATCAAGTCAGTGGGCTGCTTATTCAACTCCTGTATCTTTTTGACAGATTTTCTTTGCTTTTCAAGAAAGTATTAAAGTGAAAGATTGCAAAGCTAAAGCATTGAAATGCAAAAAAGATTGAGAAAATCAATGGCTGCATGTTTTGATGTCCCTAGCTAAAAGTACAGTTAATTTACTTATAAATTATTGTCAAAAATATTTCATAATTACTTCTCTACGAAAAAGTCATGGCTTGATTTCTAGAAAAATAATCACATTACGAATCCAAAACAATAGTGCAGAGTCAAAAAAATAAATCTAACTGGGGGAAAATTAATTCTAAAATTTGATTAACATGAAAATCAAATTATGAAACGATTTTACAGAGATTATGCAACTAAAAGCAACCTTCGCAGTCAGCTTGAATCACATAATACGTACATACGTACTTTCTTTACAGGCTAAATTGTTTCTTTCTTTTTATTTTTTAATGATGATGGAATAATTTATTTCTCAAAAAACTCAAAATAGCCAAAAAAAAAAAAAAAAAACAACGACCATGAGTTTGTCAAATATCTAACTAGGCACATGATGACACGAAGTAGTATTCGAGCACATGAAATTTAACATATATCTAGGGATGGTAAAAAAACTCGTCAAACCCAATACCCACGGGCCCTGTGCCGAATGAGGCGAGGATTACCCACTTAATCCAATATTTGAGTCAAGCTCGTGTCAGGGAATTTCACCCTAAGACAGGTATAACGTGGGTACGGGTAACACCCGCCTCGTCCCGTTTAATTAATTATTATTATTATTTTTTTAAAAAATTCAATACTTTAAATGAAAAACTCTATGAAATTTTATGAAATTCTATAGAAGATAACAACTAAGATTATTCAATGAATATAATAAACAATGAAAATATTATTTTACCAAATATATTTGAATAATTTAACTTTTAAAAATAAATAAGTTAGATAAAAAATTTAATAACTATATTGTTATCTTACTTTAATGAATGAGGACAATAAAATAAATTGTTAAAAACTAAAAAAAAATAAAATAAAAATTAAATAGGTACTTAAACCGGGCAAGGCCTCGGTCGGCCGCTCAAGGCAAGTACGGCCCGAAAAATTGCCTTGCAGGATGGGGACCTTTTTCCCGACTCGAACCCGCCTCGTTGTTATCCCTACATATGTTTGACAAAAGTCAAAATTTTTTTTATCCACATACTCAAAGGTACCCACGAATACTTCTTACCATCCAAAACTCATTTATTTATAAACACAATTTTTTATATATACTCACCAAAAGTATGCTTAGTTTCCACCCTCCATTTTTTTTATGCTTAGTTTCCACCCTCCATTTTTTGATTCTTATTAAGAACCTGTTTGGGAGTGATTTTTTCCACAAAAATTTGATTTTTTGACCGTTATTTCACTATTTCAGCCGTCATATTTGATCCTTCTCTCATAGGTAGACCTCACTTTTCTCATAACGATCAAAAAATCAATTATCAAAATCACTTCCAAATAGGCTCTAAGCTTATTGTGTTGGAGATGAGCCTCGACCCCACCTAAATTATCCTTTTCATTATTTTTTTCCATTATTGTAACATGTCCCCACTAGCTGGTTTATTTAGGAAAAAAATAGCAGAAAGTTTCCTCTAGAGGCCTACCAGTGCTATATAAAGCCATCTCTAAGGGAAACCCTCCGTGCATGTCTCAAATCTTTCTCTCACGCTCACACAGAGCACAAAAGACACACAGAGAGGGATCAATTATATAGCTTAGAATGTCTGCAAGAGACAAGCTGAATTTTGTTAAAGATGGGGTGAGTAAATTGCCTCCAGGATTTCAGTTCGAACCGACTGATGAAGAGATAGTTTTCCAGTACTTGGCGCCTAAAATATTTTCCTATCCTTTGCCAGCTTTAGTCATTCCAGAAATTAGCATTGGGAAATTCGATCCATGGGAATTGCCAGGTTTATCATTTTATTCGTATATGATGGCTTATTTAGTATGGTAGATGGTATAAACATTATTTATGATAATTTTGAGTCGTGTCTAGTGAGTGCATTACAGATAATTATAGCGTGCGCAAACATTACCATGTAGGGGATTTCGACCAGGACAGGTACATCTTCTGCAACAAGGAAAATGGAAACTCGACGATTAGAGTGACCTCTGGTGGTTTTTGGAAGCTGGCGACTGGGTTAGACAAACAAATCACGTGTTTGAAATGGATGCCGATAGTCGGAATTAAGAGGACATTCATATTCTATAAGGGGAAGAACTCGCGAGCTAATTCAAGAACTGATTGGCTCATGCATGAATATCACATCGCCCATGTCGGAAACACACAGAGTACGAATTCTCAGGTAACTTTTACCGGCTTATCCCTCATTCTTTGACACTCTAACATATCATCCATCGATCCCAAAGTTCTATATGACATTGGGACGAATACTTTTCGCCCGCTGATGGTGCAAACCGACACCTGGTGCTCCTCAGGTGCAGTACTTCCGAATGGAACCTTAGTCCAAACTGGGGGATACAATGATGGAGATCACGTCATACGCACTTTAGCTCCTTGTAACGGATTTAATTGTGATTGGGTCGAGTTCCCCCAAGCCCTGTTGGAGCGTAGATGGTACGCAACGAATCAAATACTCCCCGATGGACGGATAATTATCATCGGTGGTCGAGCACAGTTTAACTATGAATTCTACCATCCAAATTCTCAAGATTCTTCTTTTTCACAAAAAGCTGTTAGGCTCAATTTTCTCAGAGAAACTAGAGATTCAGATGAAAACAATTTGTATCCATTTGTACACCTATTACCAGATGGAAATTTATTCATTTTTGCCAACACAAGATCAATAGTCTTTGATTACAAACAAAACCGGATGATCAGGGAATTCCCGGCCATTAACGGCAGTGAACCGCGAAATTATCCCAGTTCAGGCTCCCTGGTTCTACTTCCTCTTGATGAAAACCGTCCAATCGAGCCCGAAATCATGATTTGTGGCGGTGCCTCGCGCAATGCATTCCAGCTCGCTAAAAAGGGAAAGTTTCAACGTGCCGCCTCAACCTGCGGCCGCCTGAAAATTATGGACAAAAATCCCGTCTGGAAAATGGAAAACATGCCAATGCCACGAGTAATGAGCGACATGCTTCTTCTACCAAATGATGATATCATTATAATAAACGGCGCCAGTTCAGGTACGGCAGGATGGGAATTAGCACGAAATCCTGTAACTAGGCCACTGATTTACAATCCCCTCAGGTAACTTTTACCGGCTTATCCCTCATTCTTTGACACTCTAACATATCATCCATCGATCCCAAATTCTCATATGACATTGTTTTAGGTGTACTTAATTTAACTGTAAGGTATATTAGACATTCTATACATACACAAGTATATCTAGCATAGAAGGTTAGTACGTTCTTCTATTAAACCACTATAGGTTGCATGTTACTAAAGGTGCAGAAATTTAAATAAACTGTCGTGAGAGCAACAATAATAATAATGATGAAGAATATGAAATCAATAAAGAAAGAAGAACATAAATTTAAGTGGTTTGATGAAGTACCTACATCCAAGGGAGCAAAAAATTCAAAAATATTCTTGTTCGGGGATGCTGCCCTTGTGCCCCCAACCTATTAAGCATCTTTGATAAATAGACAGTAAATTAAAGTCCGAGAGGCCGATGAGGCGGAGCCTATTTATTCTAGTAAACATGTGTTCCACTCTATGTCAACCACATATTAGAACATAAACTTACCCCCATCCAGGGATAGAGGGCCTTATTCTTTTAGCTTCTATTATAATCAATATTTGTCACTCTTTTGCAGGAAATTGGAAATTGGATTTTGTGTCACATATTTTTGAACAAAAGAAATAACAAGTCCGAGGATACAGATTCTTCTTCTTCATCATCCTCTTCATATTCTGACTCTAGTGTTCTTACTGAGGTTTCTTCGAATATATCTAGTGATGACTAGAATGCATAATGTACTCTCAGATAGAAGTAAAATTCTTCTGTTTGATCAAAATTTGAATTCAAAATGCTTGCATTCGCATTAATGTCAACTTGTGTACAATTTTCTTTTCATACTCCCATAGACTTTATATGTATTGATAAAAGATAAAGTGACAAAACCTAAATCTGTTGCTTTTTTCTATGAAAAATGCACTCAATTTTCACCGAGAAATAATTACAAAGAGGTGCAGGAAGCAGCAAGCAAAGAATATACTATAACTTTTAGATTGTAAAGTGATTCCTTAACAGAGAATCGAGCCGTAAAGTGAGTTTTCTTTTCTTCCTTTTCATTTCTATGAGTACGGTGCATGGGGTACAGGATCAGGGATTCATTTCTTTTGCGAGAATCCAAGTCACAGAAAGAGATGGAGTATTCTTCATAATGGAGGCATAGAGGAGCCGTAGGTTATAAGCCAAATGAGTAATCAAAAATGGTAAGTTAGGTTAGGTAAACTAAGTGGTCCAAACAAGACTCAACATAAGGTAATGGGCTCCAAATGAATACCATAGCCCTCCAAGTAAATGGGACGAACCATGAGCAACACTATTAAAATAGGTTGCTTTTAATGGTCCATAGAGATGTGGGTTGGGTTGTCTCGATGATAGTGTCGACATATAATTCAATTATATGGCCAAGGTCGATTGATAATAAATAAAACCGAGGTTACATCATTGCTCGGGAGGTCGTTTGACAACAAATTGTCTAACAGTGATGTAGCTGAATGAGAGCTAAGCATTGATCAATAACTTGTTGATTTTAAAATTAAAATTAACATTAACTCTAGACAATATTTTATCGGATTCTCAAGAGATACAGACAACATTTCTCAAGTGTTCAGTGTTCAGTGTTCATTGATGGGATTCATTCGGTTCTAAAAATTTAATCTTTAAAATAATTTTTTTGACTAAAGACACGAGTTTGAAGTATTAAAGAACAGCATTAATTCGAATTCTCAGAAGCCCAAGAGTGACTTCGACAAAATTGTTTCTTTTTATTGACGTATTTGCTACAGAGAACCTACGCAGGGGGACTGTCCCAAATAATGGTGTCGTGTGAACATTTGTAATGGATATATTATTGGTAAAATCATTATTTACCACGGTTTAAGATGCGTTGCAAATAATGTGTCAAGTTTGATGAATTATTAGATTTTGAGTTTGTGTTTATGTAAGTTTTTTTTACAATAAATTTTGTAAAAAGTGGGTGTGTATATATATATATACACACACACATATAATTTATTTTATTAGCAGAATGTATAATTGAAAATGAATTTGAAGAAAAATAGATTTTAAAGAATTAGTATCAAGCTTTGAATGATTAATAACTCCTTGCGAAATGAGAGGAACACAGTTGTAGCAGCAATTTGCTTCATGCTCCAAGAAATGTGGCTATATTTCTTTCTTTTTCCTGTCAAATAAATGGAGAAAACCGGTTTCCTGTACCATTAATTTGGACTGTGGACATGTAAATCAATTGATGCTACTATACTCGTATCGACTAACCAAAACTGGAGACGAAAAAGAAAGCACAAAAAAAAGAAAAAAGAAAAAAAAAAGCAAAAAAGAAAAAGAAAAAAAAGAAAGGATCAACGTGCAAATATATGTACCAGAATCCATGTTTCTTGCCGGAAATCTTCCATAATATACGTGGCTTAGAATTATGTGACTTACTCATGTTCTTTGAGTTTTGATGTAATTCCTGGGGACTCGTCTTTTCCCAAGCTGAATACCTCACCTCATTTTTCAAGAGTAGTGTATATATATATAAACAGTCTGGTAGTACACTTTTTTCCATGAGTTTCTTACAATACCTATATTTCATCAACCTTAGCAACAAATTTGTACCAAATTCTTCCTTTACTAGCTTCCTACCCATAATTATGCCCACAAAAATTGTATCTTTCATTTTCCACTTGCTTATATTAATTGTCCAGTCCAGCCGGATGATGTCCCAAATTACGTCTGCATTATCCGACCACGAGGGGGAATGGCATATTTTACACGAAAGCATAGGAATTTCAGCAATGCACATGCAACTCCTTAAAAATAACAAAGTTGTCATGTTTGATAGGACTGATTTTGGTCGCTCTAACCTCTCTCTCCCCGATGGGCGCTGCCGCTATGACCCCAATGACACTGAACTCAAGATAGATTGCACGGCTCATTCAATTCTATATGACATTGGGACGAATACTTTTCGCCCGCTGATGGTGCAAACCGACACCTGGTGCTCCTCAGGTGCAGTACTTCCGAATGGAACCTTAGTCCAAACTGGGGGATACAATGATGGAGATCACGTCATACGCACTTTAGCTCCTTGTAACGGATTTAATTGTGATTGGGTCGAGTTCCCCCAAGCCCTGTTGGAGCGTAGATGGTACGCAACGAATCAAATACTCCCCGATGGACGGATAATTATCATCGGTGGTCGAGCACAGTTTAACTATGAATTCTACCATCCAAATTCTCAAGATTCTTCTTTTTCACAAAAAGCTGTTAGGCTCAATTTTCTCAGAGAAACTAGAGATTCAGATGAAAACAATTTGTATCCATTTGTACACCTATTACCAGATGGAAATTTATTCATTTTTGCCAACACAAGATCAATAGTCTTTGATTACAAACAAAACCGGATGATCAGGGAATTCCCGGCCATTAACGGCAGTGAACCGCGAAATTATCCCAGTTCAGGCTCCCTGGTTCTACTTCCCCTTGATGAAAACCGTCCAATCGAGCCCGAAATCATGATTTGTGGCGGTGCCTCGCGCAATGCATTCCAGCTCGCTAAAAAGGGAAAGTTTCAACGTGCCGCCTCAACCTGCGGCCGCCTGAAAATTATGGACAAAAATCCCGTCTGGAAAATGGAAAACATGCCAATGCCACGAGTAATGAGCGACATGCTTCTTCTACCAAATGATGATATCATTATAATAAACGGCGCCAGTTCAGGTACGGCAGGATGGGAATTAGCACGAAATCCTGTAACTAGGCCACTGATTTACAATCCCCACCTCGACGAAATGAGGCGGTTCTCTGTCATGCCTGCGTCAGCCCGGCCGCGCCTCTACCACTCGACAGCCATTTTACTCACGGACGGCCGGGTTCTCGTCGGTGGAAGCAACCCTCATATATACTATAACTTCTCAGGTGTTGAGTATCCAACTGATTTAAGCCTGGAATCATTTTCTCCCCCTTATTTATCACCTGTATACGATCATTATAGACCAAGGATCATTGAAGTCGACGAGGTTGTTAGCTACTTACAATCATTTTCCTTAAACTTCACAGTGCAAAGATTCTTGAAAATGAGTGTTGTGTCAGTTAGGTTAATATTGCCATCATTTACTACACATTCATTTTCGATGAATCAAAGGATGGTTGTGCTAAAGGGGGTTCAGATTTCTCGTGTGGCCAATAACACGTATCAATTGTTTGCGGTTGGGCCATCGACGCGTGAGATTGCACCGCCGGGATATTATTTGTTGTTTGTTGTGCACTCAGGTATACCAAGTTCTGGCATGTGGATAAAGCTTCAGTAACACAAATTTCTCATTGATATCAGATTACAGAGTATTGCTTTATGTTTATATTTGTGTTTGGTAACCGCTACTAAATAGTGTAGAAAAACAAGTCGCTAGTGGATGAAACCAATTGTTTAAGTTTTATTCAATTGCAATAGTCGATTATTGAAATTAATAACCACAAGGCAAACGATTTCAATTTATCAAGAAAAATTCCGTTTCAAAATTTTCCAATGGTAAAAAAAAAAATGTTTAGCAACACAAAATCAGAAATATAAGTTAACTGCAGGCTAAAACTGTAAACGATGAATCTGGAAGCTGTACACTATGGAACTACAAACTGTATGAATTAAATAGTAATACGAAAATAATCTGTAGAAAGAAAACACAAACTACAGCAGATTTCAAACCGAGGCCCGTGTGTGCACAGTTTCCTTAAGACAGTTTCTCCCCCTCATCGTAGGTGCTGGAGGTTCAGTTCAAGCGGCTGTCTCCCAGGATACAACGGTAATAAGTAGAATCCGAGCACCGCGGTCCTACTCCGACGAACTGATCTAGTATCCGAACAATATCACCACAAGAACAAAATCTTACTGGACAAGGAATGCAGAAAAGAAGAAACTGTGTATGCAGGAATGTAGGTGAGATTTTCGAGTGTGTTAGATTGCTGGAGATTGAGCCTTTTTATAGGCATACTGCCCATTAATATTGTGACCACTCAGAGTTCATTGGAGTTACTTCTCATTAACACTGTGACCATTGGGAGTCCATTGGAGTTTTTCAGTTTAGAAACTCAAAATTTATTGGAGAAAGCTAAAAAAAATTGGCAAAACGTGGGCACCGATAGGGCCATTTTTACCTTGTTCAGTCCGACATTCATGTGCGCAGGTTGCGCCCGCACCCAAGTTCAAGGTCTGAAACCCCCCTGCGCGCGCATGTGGAAAGAGCATCTATGCTACATATAATTACATATCTCCAAAACATAGCCATATATAAAGTGGTTTAAGTTTCCTTGGTTTTCCTATGTGGGATAAATGCATTTTTTCCCACAAAACCAACTTCCAAATTTACTAGCTTCCTACCCATAATTATGCCCACAAAAATTGTATCTTTCATTTTCCACTTTCTTATATTAATTGTCCAGTCCAGCCGGATGATGTCCCAAATTACGTCTGCATTATCCGACCACGAGGGGGAATGGCATATTTTATTTTGAGCTTCAATTTCTCATTTACCCGAGCTTCATTTTTGGCAAATAAATATATGAAATCGATGTTCTCGCGGATGAGAACACATATCAACTTTGATATTCTACATTGGACTAACGGGTTCCATTGAAAATTGCGCCAAAAGTGAGCCGCTCACTCAATTTTTTCCAACAATCCCCCACATGAATGAAAATTGGGAGAGACGCGAAACGTGAGACACAATACTTGGTGATAAAGTTCAGCGGTTGAATCCTGCATAGGATAGGTAGGTGTTACACTTTGAACCTTCCCTTGGGAAAGCATATTTACTTTACTAGCTGACTAGTAGACGCGATGTCCTTGAACTGTTCTGCCGTTTGTGTAAACGATGATATACCTCACACAGGATTCTTCCTAACACAATCCAGTTCTCATTGTTACGTTCGTTTTGGCCATGAAAATATGCCTGGTTCTGTGAGAGTTCTTTAGAATTGAGCCCCACACAATTCTCTTAGAAGCGACCTTACTTCTCTCTCACATAGGTGATTTTGTATTACAAGTAACCCGCATTATTTAGCTCGATTTACGACGCATAAGAATTATTAAAAGCCTATTGCTTAACCTTCAACCTTACGGGTATCACTGTTACATCATAGGAATGGACAAGAGATAATACCCCCACAGTGATTTTATCAAGTCTTTACAGTTAGGTTTTCCCATTGAACCTAGATCTTGGGATCTCTAGTTAACTAGGTTGGGTTTTCCTTTGTAATGACTTATTCCTTCAAGGGCTTAAGTCTCATTCCTTTCGATAATTTTATAACTAACTCTCTATTTAACCCTCTGGTTAGCGGATCCGCAATGTTATCTTTTAACCTTATATAGTCAATAGTGATAACTCCAGTTGAAAGTAGTTGTCTTATGGTATTATGTCTATGACGTATATGTCTAGACTTACCATTATATATGTTACTCTGTGCCTTTCCTATTGCCGATTGATGGTCACAATATATGCAAATTGCTGGCACAGGTTTTGACCAACTTGGAATATCCTCTAAGGAGTTACGCAATCATTCAGTCTCTTCACCACATTTATCTAGAGCTATAAACTCAGATTCCATCGTAGATCTGGCTATAACCGTTTGTTTAAAGGATTTTCACGATATGGCAGCACCACCCAATGTGAACACATATCCACTGGTGAATTTTGAGTCTTTTATATTAGATATCAAATTAACATCACTGTATCCTTCAATGATTGCTGGATATCTAGTATAATGTAGTCCATAGTCACGAGCATATCTTAAGTACCTTAGTACTCTTACAATTCCTTTCCAGTGATCAGCTCTTGGATTACTCGTGTATTTACTTAATTTAATGACTGTGTAGGCTATGTCTGGTCTAGTACAACTCATTAAGTACATTATACTTCCAATAACTCTCGAGTATTCTACTTGAGAGATACTTTCTCCTTTGTTTTTAGACAGATGTTGACTCATATCTATTGGTGTTTTAGCCAAGCCAATATCATCCTTATGAAATTTTCTTAAAATTTTGTCCACATAATGTGACTGACTTAGAACAAGCCCATTTGATGTTCTTGAGATTTTCACTCCAAGTATAACATCAGCTAAACCCATATCTTTCATGTCAAATCTCGAGTTTAACGTATTTTTAGTGGATTCAATCATCTTATTGTCACTACCAACAATAAGCATGTCGTCAATGTAAAGACATAAGATGACATATCCATCTTTAGTGTCTTTGACGTAAACACATTTATCACATTCATTGATTTTAAATCCACTCTCAATCATGACATTGTCAAATTTTTCATGCCATTGTTTTGATGCTTGTTTCAAGTCATACAGTGATTTCACCAGTTTACAGACTTTATTTTCCTGTCCTGGTGATGAAAACCTCTCAGGTTGTTCCATGTAAATTTCTTCTTCTAAATCTCTATTTAGAAAGACAATTTTAACATCCATTTGATGTACTTTAAGATTTCGAAAAGTGGCAATCGCAAGTATCATCCTAATAGATGTTATTCTCGTCACTGGAGAATATGTATCAAAGTAATCAAGGCCTTCCCTTTGTTTGTAGTGTTTAATTACTAATCTGGCCTTATACTTCTCGATAGTTCCATCTGCTTTCATTTTCCTTTTGAAAATTCATTTGTAGTTTAGTGGTTTGCTTCCTGGAGGAAGATCCACTAGCTCCCATGTATGATTTTGCAGTATGAAATCTATTTCACTTTCAATGGCTTCTTTCCATTGAGGTCCTTCCGAGGAATTCACTGCTTCTTGATAACTTTGAGGTTCACTTTCTAGCATATAGGTCAGAAAATCAGGACCATAAGATTTTTTTGTCCTTTCCCGTTTGCAGCGTCTAACCTCAGTCTCCTCTTCTAATTCTTCGTTCTGACTATTTTCAGTCATTGTCTCATATGTTTGTTTAGAGGAGCTTGCTTCCTCTTTGGATCTGTATGGAAATACTTCTTCAAAGAATGTAGCATTCCTTGATTCCATTATCGTGTTTTTGTATATGTCTGGAATTTTTGAATCATACACAAGAAAGCGATACGCACTGCTACTATGTGTATAGCCAATGAAGACACAGTCTATAATTTTCGGGCCTATCCTTACCTTCTTTGGTGGTGGAACAACCACTTTAGCAAGACATCCCCACACTCGCAAATGTTTATAGGTAGACATTCTTCATTTCCATAACTCATAAGGGGTCTTTTCCGATTTCTTTCGAGGCACCTTATTTAAAAGGTAATTCGATGACAACACAGCTTCTCCCCACATGTTCTGAGGTAATCCAAAACTTACGACCATTGCATTCATCATCTCTTTTAAGGTACGATTTTTCCGTTCAGCAACACCATTTTGTTGCGGTGAATAAGGGGTGGTGGTTTCATGTATGATTCCATGTTGTGCACAGAATTCAGCAAATGGTATTTCATACTCACCACCTCGATCACTTCGCAGCACCTTAGTTTTCTTATTAAGTTGATTCTAAACTTCATTCTTATAGAGAATAAATTTCTCTATAGTTTCATCCTTACTTTTAAGCAGATATACATAGCAGTATTTTGTGCTATCGTCGACAAAAGTAATAAAATACTTGTTGCCATCTCTTGTTTGTACAAGTTTTAGATCACACACGTCACTGTGAACTAAATCTAGTGGTTCTGTGTTCCGTTCAATTGATTTAAACGATGACCTTGTCAATTTTGTTTCAACACAAATTTCACACTTATGTTTGGAATCGTTACTGAACTTAGGTATGCAGTTAGAGTTAACTAGTTTTCGTAAAGTATCATAGTTAACGTGTCCTAATCTACCATACCACAAATTGGAAGACTCAAGCAAATAATCAGAAGAACTTGCTTTATTCATTTTTGGTTTCACAACCATTACATTGAGTTTAAACATACCATCAGAAACATAACATTTTCCGACAAACATTCCACTTTTTGATAGAATGACTTTGTCTGACTCAAAAACAATGCGGAAACCATGCTTATTCAAAAGCGACCCGGACACTAAATTCTTGTGAATTTTCGACACATAAAGCACGTTGTTGAGAGTCAGCTCCTTTCCCGAGGTCATCTTCAGAACCACTTTTCCTTGAACCTTGATTTCAGAAGTTGCTGAATTTCCTATGAACAACTTCTCCCCGTTCTCAACAGCTTCGAACGTATCAAACATCTCTTTATCAGAGCACACATGCCTTGTAGCACCGGTGTCAATCCACCACTCTTTAGGGCTTGAACCCACCATGTTTACTTCAGAAATGACTGCTGTAAGATTCAGCTTCAACACATCTTGTGCCATGTAGTCAATCACGTTCGCTTCTTTCTTCTTCTTCGATAATCTGCATTCTGAAGACTTGTGACCTACTTTGTCACAATTGAAGCATTTCCCTTGGAATTTCTTCTTGACAATTCCA